ATGCACTTGTAGTATCCGTATACCTGGAGTTACTAACGTATTGATACTACTAATATAGCAATAAACGCACTAACATAATCAAATAGTATTATTTAAATAATAAAATAGTTATAAATGTGTGTTACTAACATATCCTGAAGAGATAGGACTTAGTCCAATTTAACAGCTTGAAGCTCATTGTGCTCACTGAACTAGTGACGTTGACTATCTTTTTGCATAAATCGTAAATAAAATTGTAAATAATTTTATTTTGCTAATATTAGTAGAAATACTTATAAAAATTTGACAAAATTTTAAACGTACGAAATTTTATTTTAATTTAGGATATATTTCACTGTGCTTACAACGCTTACGAGTGTTATTGGTTCTTGTTTAATATTTGATAAATAAAATGATTCCACGATCGTTGCCAGCGTGGAATGAAATACACCATTAGTCACATTTCTTGTACATTGTTCAGTTATGTGATAGATATAGAGTTTTAGAGAATTGTATAGTTTTCAAAAATCTACACTATCTTGGAGAATTATAATTATTTATTCTTTTCTTATTTTTTTTATATATTTATAGGTAAGTCCTAAAATTTTTTGAAATTATTAACGTTGACATGTAGGATTCAAATATTTATTATTAGAAATACCTTGTAATGTATTAAGAATCACATTATCAATAGAATTGCTTTCAGAACTGTTGAACTCACCTAACAGTGATAAATACGAAGAAATTTATCATTAAATATATACATATAGCTAGAAAGCAGAATAATAACTTATATCAAAAATTTAAACATCTTTATTGAATATAACTTTTAAAGTTTTTTTAAATTTAACTGTTAACAATACAATATACAACATTTTTGTCTATTAAATTATTTATGCAGTGAAGTTTTGTTTGAAAATAAGTTGTAAAGTAGATATAAATTCCTTTACGTTATTTTTTCCCTGCCTCTGCATTCGTCACAAGAATCTTATATGATCTTTAGATTTATTTATTTATATTTAAAAAACATAAAAAACTTATTGCAAACAAATAAAATATGAATAATACATAATTTTATTTCTATTGGTATACCTTTATACACAATAATAGAAGGAGAAAATTAGAAGATAAGTTAATTCGCAATTCATAAAAATATAACAGTCTATATAGTTTTTCACGCGCGTTTTTAACACTATCGATGATTTTATCGTCAAATATCACATTGTCATTTTATAATAAAACTAAAAGTTAATGTTAATATTCTAATTTTGTATATTTCATAATTACATGTATAATTACAAATGTTAAAAAGGAAAAAAAACAATTAATATCCGATATCTTTGATGCAAGACTATAATGTTTGTCTTCGTGATCTTCAACCTTACACGGTATGTGTACTAACATGTGTGTTTTCATGATCATTTAAAAAGTTCCAAGTAGTTCATTTTCATGACCCCAGACACATAGAAAGCGCCCTATGTGAGCCTCCGTAGTTTAGTACGTAATGTATAATATAAACACAGCTTGTTCTCTTCCGCAATGAAGAAGATTAGATCTACAATCAAAACGTTTATTACAATTAACTTCGTTTGATAAGTACATTCCAAATAAACAATGCTACAGTATCATGGAACAAAGTCGGAATCGGATCGAAATCGTTCAATTATTCCCTAGACTTCTATTGTGTGTGTTTTTTTTTTTTTTTTTTAGAGAAAACGGAATAATTCCGATCGGAATCCATTCCGACTTTGTTCCATGACAGGTACCCAGTTTTGACGTTCTGACAACCAGCTTGAGCGTCCTACATAATTATTTTAATAGTCGAACAAGTTATTTTCAGATCTGTATCTACAGCTAAAGTTTTCAATACTATAGCAGAACTTCTTTTCATGTACGAGAGTCATGACTAAACGAGTTCGACGGGCATCAGATTTTGGTCGTTCCGTCATCTTCATCGCAGTCTAATAAATCGGGAAAGTCGCCCGAAGAAATGTGCATGTTGCATCGAGCCGATGGACGGCTCCCGTAACGGAACAAACCAAAAGTGAATTATATAGTTATTCGCGTTCCGACGTTTAACGCGAGATTACTTTCATCTGTCCTACTTTTGTTTTCACGAGCTGGCGCGCTCGTCGGCGCGGCGCGGCGCGGCGCGCGCGGCTCAGCTCGACGGTTTCTTCGTCACTACCTGCCGCTAGCTCGGACATTCGAGACGAGAAAAGATGACGCATGGAGACAACGTTAATAAATCGCAGGCACGCGCTCGTAAATGATAATTCGACCGATACGCGGCCGTTCGATCGAGCGTGTAACGGCAGCGTATCGGCGCGAAAAACCACTTTTTGCGTCGCGTTACGCATCGAATGCTCGGTGAAAGTGATGCTTGTGCCGAAGACGCACGTCAGAAAACTAACGTACATATACACGCCATGCGCTCGCTTTCCTTCTGCTTGTCTAACGAGTTCATCAGGTATCGCGATCGAAATCTGCCGGATAACACGGGATATCCTTAATAAATTAAATCCGACTAATCGCCACTTTCGCGTCCCAATTGGAAACATAATTTCAAATGAGACTTAAAATTAACTAAATCGCGCATAAATGTAAATCATGAACACTTTAATAAAAGCAGAAATGTAAATTTGCTTCTAAAATCGTGTTTGATTCTGCTTGTCACAACGAGCATTTTTTAGGGGGATTCTCTTTAACCGTTTTACCAATGCAAATCCGAGTACTTATATTGAATTTTAAACAGTAAACATTTTTATATTTTTATATGGATTTTGTTATAACGCATGAAATACTCCATCCTTCGAGCAATAAAAAACAATTTTGCGTAAATTTTACGTATATCTCGTTTCACATTTTTTGCGAAAATTTGTTTTGTAAAACATGATAGAGAAAAATTGTACATTAACAAAAGAGTTGTTTTTAAATTATTTCGCATAATATAGACACATATAGTATATATATCAATGTAACTGTTATAAAGAAAATTTATCTTTGAATAAAGTATTATAATTTCCACGAAATATATGTTAAGAATTAATATATTCTTTCTATTTATAAAAATTATTAAAAATATATATTTTTCATTAAATAACTAAAATAATTTAATATTCAAATAAAATTTAAAATAATAAAGAAAAAAACTTATTTCTTCGATTATCTTTATAATAACTATAATGTAATTCTATTTTAATGGGTATAAAATTTAAATGTACTTATTGGAAAAATAAAAAAATCTTTTGTTTCTTTCTTTCCACTTTTTAATTTCTTCCTGTATATAAATAAAAACCATAAATAATCAAACATTCAACTTCAGTTTTCACGGAGAAAATGATTATTGCCATGAAAAGCAACAGTGTTACCGCTTTCGTAGATTCTAGCTTTATCGTAATTTGATTTGAATTTGAACATAACATTAGGGCGCAAGCAGATTTCGAACTGTATTTGTAATAGTTTTGTTAGAAAGTTTCGTTTCTCACTTTCCAACCGCTTTCTAAAAATGTGAAAAGAACAACGATGAGCACCCATTTCAATTCGTGTTCTAACGGCTCGTAATTACTCGTCGCGGCCTGCGGTCAGGACGAAATTGTAAGGCTCCGCCTCGTCAAAAGTTCGACAAAACCCGCACGTCGAAATTGACTTGCAAAAAATTTTAATAGCCAATCTATGATCAAGTCCCGCGTGTAAAACGATCAAAATTCTTAAATGAAAAAACTGTAAATATTTATCATTACATTTCTTGAATTAACCTTCGATAACAAAATGTGTTATTCTGATATTTATATTCTTTTTTAAATCTATGAATTGTAAAATTTATAATTTAAACTATCTCTTCATCATTCTGAATTTCTATAATTTAACATTTGAGAAAATTAGAAGTTACAAAAATTATGCTCTCTGTAGAATCTAAGATTTATAAAATTTAGTGTTTGTTCAATTTCCGAATTCTCATACACAACATTGATTTATTTACAAATTGAATTGTTGTAAATATACATTCTGTAAATTAAAACTGTTTATAAAAGTCATTAAAACGAATAGTAATATATATGGGTTTTGAGGTAGAAGTTACATCGTTAAAAACTGAAATTTTTAATTAATAAATTTTTGAAATGTTTAAACACAATAATTTTTATTAATTGCTTTTTATTGTGTTCTTCAATTATTGTATGCATGAAATTATAAATAAATTATATATTCGAGTAGTCGCCAACGAATTCAAACGACATATTGATGTCATCATCAATAGCATCAATATCATATTCGTGGACATATCAAGCAGTTGAATGATTAAAAGATATATATAAATGTATATTTCTCTTCACCAAATAACTATGAATATAATTTTATTTCTTTTTAATATTTGACATAGCTGCATGACTTATTGTCAGATGAAAGATCATTATCATTTGAAAATAAAGCCATCGTACACACTTGCGTGTATGCACAAGTGTGAACGAGATTCTCCGAAAATATTTTCATTACGCACATTGTTTGATAAGTGGTGCGTGAAACAGGGTCATTTTGGCGGATATATCAATGTCTGTCAGATCGAAGTCGCGAAACGAGCGTAAAACTAACGTTCGGGTGCGAGCGTCACATTACAACATGACTGTAAATTATAAGAATTAGGCCACCGTACGCACATGCATACGTGTCATGTTCTTTTTTTCCTCGAGTCACTGTACATACACGAGTCACACATGCGCAATTATCGCTAACGCGGATGTCTGCTCGCGATTCACGGGACCTTGGCCGGTTTTCCTTTCGACGATGCGCGATTTAAATTCTCGACACGCACGGAAAGCAATTTAACCGACCGAAATCCGATCGCTTGAAGATAAAGAAGATTATACGTAAAACAAACGTACTCGCACAAAATCTATATTACCAACAGCAGATTTGGTTTGTTGATAATAAAGAAAACATACTGTCGGTACATAATACGTTTTCCTGCCATATCGACGCACGTTAAAGCAAGACGGGTGTAATTCAACATGTTAACCTCTTACCTTTACTCGTCTCAGGTTGAATATTTTCCGTCTTGATTTCCGCCCTTGAGGCGTAAGGGATGGAAATTGGAGACGCTTGCGTTGAAGGCGCTGCTAATTTTTCTAAACACATAATGTTAAAAAACAATTAGTCCACTAAAGTAAAATAAATTAAAATAAAAATATACTTGTTGCTCCAGAAATAAATCCAATACAAATAATGCATGTGAATTTTTATGGTTGTTCTATATTCATGCGTAAATTCTATATTTATAAGCGATAAAATTATAAGTAATTGTCGAAAGCAATTATGTGACATGGTATGTACTTACTAAAGATAGTAAAATATATAAATACGTAGATAGATTTAGTTTCCCTTACAGAAATTAAACACTCTATTACTGGCCAATTAATCACTTATTTTAATAGTAAGGGTTATATTCGAATTTACTAATTACTACGCTAAAGAAAACCAAAAATGCAGAATCGAGATGTTTGCGAATTTATATTTTACTTTTAACTTCATTTATATATATATATATATAAGTACATATTCTTATATATATTATATTACACACACGCACGCACATATTATATATCGTGACATGTAGGTGTACCGTAGCGAAAATATGAATACTTTTATAAAGTAAGCGTTGGCAACCGTTCGATGACGATTTTTTAAGAGTTTATACGCTTTCAAACTTTATAAGAACGCTTACACAACACTATTGAGTTTTAAACATCTTCAGAGAACGCTTATGAAATGTAACCGTATATATCGTTTGATGAAAGTTCTGTGTAATAATAAATACTGATACACCTTCGTACAGAGAGTTTATTGTTAATTTTTCAAACAATTAGCAAAGACTTTTCTCTAACGATCCGTTTTTAAAACACTGCAACGTTGCAATTTCCGCTTTTCAAACATATTCTACTGACTTATACTCTCTTTCTACTCTAAACAAACTTCTACAAATGCTTAAATAATGCCAAAAAACATTTATCAAACTTCTTATTTTTGTCAGGGTTATAGGTACATCTATTATAGGTTTATAATAGTTTTGGGAAATTTACTTTATAAATTATACTTACAAGTAATTTTTTATTATAGGAATTGAGTACAATAAGTTTGTACGGGCATTTCATTTTTTACACTATATATTTTATCATTTACTTACCAACATTGTACTACTTTTTGTACTCAATTTCTATAACAAACACATATACGCATAAGATAACCTAAAAAGTACCTTATAAATAATTTTCCCAAAGCCTTGATTATTATATTGTACATACATATATAGGTAATACATATTCTGTAGGAATATACACCCTAATTGCTTGCAAGAATTGTATTTTATCTTATAAATATAGAATTTACGCACTAAACGGAGAGTATATTTTATTTGTATTGCAATTCGTATATATGGTAAAAAGGTTTATTGATGATATATAAATAATGAACGATATACAATTCACCTGCTAATAAAGGATTCGCGGCAGCGATATTGTGCCTCTGTCTTTTGTAGGAAGAAGGCGTTGTGGTGGAGGTGGGTTGACTGGCCTCTGCCTCGAGTTCCCTTAGGAAGTCTAGGGGATCGAAAAGTTCCTCCCCTGTAACACCAGACATACCCGCACCTTCCTCTACTGGCACATTCGATGCCGTTGGCGTTCCTACCAGAGCACTTAGCTCCATCGTAGAAAATTCTACCGGCTGGCCTGTGTTGCTCTGCTGAAAACATGGAAAATACGAAGATAAAGATAGGTATTATTTCGTTACTGCATATAGTATAGGATTATATGGTATGTAACTTATTAGGCCTCTCATATTTGATAAATCAATAAATTCTAAATCAAGGTTCATGTAAATCATGGCAGATTTTATCAAATTCTATACTATATACGAAATTCAATTTATATATCTATAAATTCTAGACGTTATTAAAATTTCATGAATATTATATAGAAATCTGTTCTAATCTCAAATTCGAAAACAACCACTCACCTGAAGGCACTGGGTTAAATCCATCTTTCCGTCATTGTCAGAGTACCAGAATAGCTCGTCGTCTATGAAGGGCATGTTTGATTCCTCCTTGGGTACAAGGGTGGAGGTTATTAATGTAGGTGTTTGCGATACGGGGACCGGCATCGGGACCCGTACCCAGCGGCGGGGCCACTTTAGCCACCCCCGCGCCTTCTAACATCTAACCACCTCCAAGACTTCCTACCTCTTTCGCCTCCCGCGGATATCGCACTCAGATGATTCGATTCCACTTTCTTTTCTACACCTGAAAGCATAATTCACAATTAGATTGTGTGTCCACCATCAAAATACAGGTGATTAACTCTTAAACTCTTAATGATTTCCCGTTATCATGCAAACATAAATACGATTAAGAATCGTAGATACATACATATTCTAAGCATTTTAACTAGTCTATTGGCCGCTTGGCGGCTATCATGTTACACTGTATATTACTTTAAAAAGTAATAATTACCAAAAATTATATATTATATACATATTCAGATTTATATATATTTATATCTAGGCTTTTTTTACGAGTTTTCAAACGTTGCGTTTGTTTATTTGCATTGCTTATTGATGATAAGAATTTATTATTAAGTTTATTAGCACCGATTTTCGGAAAATAAAATTAAGGATATGAATGTATCGCTTCTCGATAGCGCTTGTATTCATCGTGACTTAGTTATAAGGAGATATCGCAGACTGTTCTTTCGGATCCCCTAGGAAACAGGGGATCTGATAGTCTGATACTGGTCAGAGAAGCTTGTTATCTGGAGTTGGCGCCTCTTTCAACATCTTTCAGATTTGGATTAACCCGAACACCATGACGGGTAGTTGGAAGTTGACGATGATCCAATCACATTGCTTAATCTCTCCACATAAACCAAACAAAGGTGGCTGATAACTGTTCAAAAAGATCTCACTATAGATTTAATGTTAAAGAGTGTATAAGTACTTGCAGTATCCGTATATCTGGAGCTGCAATATTATTCGACTGACATCAACTAACACTTTATTAACAATTAGGATTACAAAACATATCAAAGAAACATATCAAAGAAATTAACAATAGCATTATCATCTAACGTAGAAGTAGATAAATTTCTTGGAGAGATAGGACTAACTTCCAGTTTAGCAGCTCGAAGCTAATAGTGTCTGCTCGCTGAACTAGTAATGTTGACTATCTTTTTGCATTAATCGTGTAAAATAAAATTGTAAATAATTTTTTTTTCTAATATTAGAAATATTTATAATAATTTGACAAAATTTAAATGTACAAAATTTTATCTTAATTTATGGTACACGTTTCACTTGTTGCTTATAACGCTTGCGAGCCTTATTTAATATTTGATGCATCAATAATTCATCACATTTCTTTTACATAGTTTAGCTATATGATACAGATAAAGTTTCAGAATTATATAATTTTCAAAAATTTACACCATCCTGGAGGATTGTAATTATTTATTCTTTTTATTCGTTTTATTTTTTAAGGTAGATCTTAAAATCTTTCAAAATTATTATTGATATACAGGCTTCAAATATTTATTATTAAAAATACCGTGTACTATATTAAAGAATGCATAATTAATAAAATCGTGTTTATAAGTATTCGCATAGTAGTGATAGATGGAAAGAAATATTTATTATTAAATATGTATAGCTAAAGAATAGAACAATAATTTACATTAAAAATTGAGACATCATAGTCTTTAGTGAATGCAACTTTGAAAGTTTTAAAATTTAAGTACAATATGAAACAATTTTTATATTAAAAATTCTTGTGCCGTGAAGATTTGTCCGAAAAGTTGTAAATTAGATACACATTGAAAAATTGAAAAGTAGATACACATTTCTTTTACATTCTTTTTTCCTGTGTCTATTACAAGAGTTTGATATGACCTTTAGTTTTATTTATTTATTGTATATGTAAAAAACAACAGAAAATTTATAAACAAATAATACAGTAAAATATGAATAAAATATCAATTTTATTTTTTTTTTATCGATATATCTTTATATAACAGCAATAGAAAAAAAAGGAGGTAAGTTAATATGCAATTCGTAATAGTCTATATAGTTTTTCATATACTTTATACATATACTTAACATATGTTTTTCTACGTGCGTTTAACATTACATTGATGATTTTATTTGATATCACATTGTCATATCTTAGAATGAAATTAAAAATTATTGTTAATCTTCATATTTATTTATACAATAAAGTACTAATAATCTCATATCTGTTATACGAAACTTATTTCTTATTGCTCCTGAGTTGATTGACAACGAATAAACTTCCTGCTTTAGGATCCTCCACACAAAGAAATCCAGTGGTATCAGATCAGGTGATCAGGTCAAGACACTACTCCTTTATGTCTAAGAACGAAGCAACTATATTTTGTCTTTTTTACGATTTTCTTCAAAACAAAGCAAAAACGAGTATATTTCTATAGGACTTTTTTTTCTTAATTTATCGATCCCTTACACATTCCCAAAGTTTTGACATTTAAATTCCGAACACCCTGTGTATATATCTATATATATCTATGTGTTAGTACACATATTTATACATATATATGACAATATGCAATGACGATACAGTTCGTGTAAAAGCTTCTAATTTCTCTGTTAATAAATTAAGATAAGCAACAAAACCGTTAATTAAGCGCGAAACAAGATCTCTTTATCTCGCAACAACTTCCGGTGCATCGCAGTCCGCGTTCGCACTTTCGTTTGAATTCTAATTTGAACTCGGCTAAAACGTAGATTGATAGTATTGTTACTTTCTCTTGCCGCCCGCGTATAGTATGCCCGCATGAGCTTATATTAGACGCGATGTAATATTATATATGGAAAAATATAAAAAATAGCGCTTTCTCTCTCTCTCTCTCTCTCTCTCTCTCTCTCTCTCTCTCTCTCTCTCTCTCTATCTCTCTCTCCTCTCTCTCCCTCTCTCTCTATCATGTACTTTATGACATAGTGAAACGTAAACCCACACATAGTGTTTAAAATTTTATCAAAATGATGCAAAATAATGCTCTAAAGAGAACGATTTAATTATTTTGCATCATTACCACAGACTTGAAAGGAGGCCTTTAATTGTGCACATTTCTGTACAATTCATTCTTTGCAGGGAATGGAAAGTTACTTTTTAAAAGTAACTAGTTACAGTTACTCGTTACCGAGTAAAAAATGTAACTAGTTACAGTTACAGTTATCGCTTTTTAAAAGTAACTCGTTACAGTTACCGTTACTTGAAAAATAACTTTTCGTTACTTTTCCGTTACTTTTTTAAAATCAATTTAAAAATGTACTTTTGCATTTTTTTTATATGTAATACTGCGACAAATATATAGTTTTATTTAAAAAAAAAAAACAATGTAGAATGGCTCAAATAATAAATTAAATAAAAGTAAAATGAGAAGGGTTACGAGCCAAAAATGAAACAGTTTATTTCCGATAAGAACGACGATGACAATGTAATTAAATGTATAAATATATATTAGAACAATACATAGATAAAACAAGATAAAAACAAACGACGTTTCGACACTTATTGTCATCGTGTTTTAAACTGTTTCGCTTTTGGGTTCATAGCCCTTCTCATTTACTATTATTTAATTTATTTTTTAATTTTTTTTAAACACAATTTTGTAATTCTAAAACCTGTAAAATATGCAGCAAACTGAAATATTTGTATGTCCTATGTATTACAAAGAAGATAGAAGTGTAAAATAATTACTGAATCATAACGGCCGAATGTCTAAGGGCTTTCAAGTCTTATTGATAAGCGCTATAAATAGCATGTATCCAATCGAACCGTGTTTAATCGTGTGCAAAGTAACGACAAAAGTAACTGTAAATTTCGTTACCGTTACCCAAAAAATGTAACTCGTTACAGTTACAGTTACCAAAAAAAGAAAGTAACGCAGTTACTAGTAAAGTTACCAAAAAAGTAACTTGTAACTGTAACTTCGTTATAAGTAACGAGTTACTTCCATTCCCTGATTCTTTGTTTGAGAAAGTATTTAAATACAAATGAAGAACGCGCGCGAGAATTATCGAGATTATTCGCAAAATCAAAAATTCAGTAAAGAAATACATCCATAAACTTATTTAAAAATTATAAATTTTTCGCATTTAAGAAAATGTACGAATTAGGAGTTTAGAAAACGAAAATGTTTACCGAGAACAAAAGATCTTTAAAAAAAAAAGTTCATTCTCTCTCTGAAGAGGAAGTTGACCGATAGCTTGCAAAGCTGCTTGTCCGCGCGCGACGAGCAACGCTGATGATTCGTGACTAATTCGCGTAATGCTACCGCGGAGAAAGAGAGAGGGTCGCGGGCAATTTCCATGAAAGTGAAAACACCGAGCGAAAACTTTCTTTCTGGCTCCGCTGTTTCACTTCCTGTGCGCGTAACCTCGCGCTCTCCCGTCGTCCATCGCCGCTGCGTTTCTATGCAGCTTCTACCCGGCGCGGCGCGATAGTGTTTTTACGTAACTCGTAGCCGCGAAAGAAAGTTGCCACGAGTAGAGGTTAACATCCTCCTCTTCCATCTAAGAACTAATACCGTCGCGATTGATTACCGAACCATAATAAACGTTAATTTCCAATCGAGGACACCGCCTGTCTCATGCGCAACATTTTCACGAATCTTTGCTTATCAACTTTCCGGAATTAATACCAAACGCTGGCTTTGTAAAATAGATTTTAAAATAATAGTTAAGTTAACAGGACTCTTAATTTAAAAATAACAATTATGTAATACAAAAGGACCAACAAGAGTCTGAAAATAGATTTTATTTGTATTATTTAAAAGGCACTAAAAATAATTCCGAGGGAATAATAGCATAACTTGCATTTGAAAAAAAATAGTTACTATATAAGTATATATTTTTAATAAATATAATCCGAATTTACAAATGTAATATTGAAAGAAATTGAATTGTTTTTGATAGAGGTTTATATATTGAGTAAATTTGATAAACCCACCGACATACACATCTAGAGGCTTCCTCCATATCATAACAATTTAATGACTAATAAATGAAAAAAACGTATAGTAATCACAAAATCTTTATACAAAAAAATCTATTCAACAATTTGTTCATATATTTTAATTTTAAATATATACACAAATTGTTGAACAAATTTTACATATAAAGACAAAAGATAACTCACAAGCTCTTTTTTATTATTTATTTTATTAAAAAAAACCTTATCTATTATATTTATACATTTAATAACTTTGTAATTTTACATGCACATAAAGAATCAAAATCATATAAATATATGTATGTATGTATTAAAATATGTATAGTATGAAAGCAGAGAGTATTTTATAAATTATACATAATTTATAATAAATTATAAAATTATAAATAGAATTATAAATAGATCTAAAGTTAGCTTCGCTTTTCCCGCTCTTTTCGATTGCCTTGCACTCTCTGCTACTCTTCGAGGTGCTGAAAGTGTGATTCCACTTCATGATGTACAGCGCACGTGGTCGCGTTTATAATCAGCAACAAGGGATATTCATTTCTCGTAGTTGCATTAAATTTACATTGATTGAGCTTTCATTATTTTTCTTTCTAAAGCACAATAATTATACAATAACTCTTATTTTATGTGCATAAATTCGGATAGTTCAGTTAAAGACAAACAGGCAATAAACTAAATAATAGTATATGAATTAGTGTGTATTCTCTCTCTCTCAGTGTAAGAGGTGCATGTGAAAGGAACAAACTTATCAATGATGGCAGATCAGGCAGACGAAGACAGTGAAACATCGGACGAGAGTTTGGACGTCAGAAGCGAGAAATTCGATCCATTGAAGGCATTATATTCGCCTAAAGTGCGTTTGGCGGCCCGCGTACCGATCTATGACAATATTTCAAAATTCGAATCCGTTCTGAAAGGCATCGATGTGTCGACGAAAGTGCGTATTGCTCACTGTTATGTTAAGCGCTAATTTGTTCTAATATAAAATAATCAGATGAAAATTGTCATCCATCGAAAGTGTCAAATCGTAGAAATTAGAGATCATGAAAATTATTAGATTTATAAACGTAAAAATCTATACGAAATATCAGAGCATGTAAAACCTAACCTAACATAACCTTGCAACCAGTTTGTCCGGTCACAACCTGACTCGATTTAATATTTTGCTTTGTCAAAATTGAAATTTAGATTTAATTGAAGTACTGACACTGAATCTGTAAAACTCTCTCACTAATATAAATTAATTAATTTCAAGACATCAAATGACATAATTTGTATAAAAAAGAATAAATGTTAAGTTTATTTTAACATAAGAATAATCTAAATTTTTACAGATGTGATGTAAAGAAAACTGATTTGTTTGACATATTTTTGACAAAGAGATTTATAATTCAGTGGGTTCAACAAAATCCATGTTAGCTCCAAAGAGTTGAGAGAATCTTATTAAGAATTTAAAAATGTGTAATACTTACAATTTACGAATACTTGCTGTTGAACCGTTTCATCCAAATTTAATCTATACAAATATTAATAATAGTATTTGCGCGACGACTTTTATTAGATCCATAGTACATGAGCTGTCCTCCAATATGTTTTACGTAACCGTTTCATCTAAGTTAATTGTAAAACTTCTCAATGTGTGTTTAATAAATTCAGCCATTTAATGCATCAATGTAAATGGACAAACTACATATGAGGAAATTACACAAAAACAACACACTAACATTCAGCTCAACATGACCATAAAAATAATTTTGACTTGAAAAAAGATTAACGTTAATATTGCAAGACTAATTAAAAATTGACTATGTTGATACATCAGTATTAATTTGTGCATTTTGTTTAATTATAATATACTATGAAGACAACTCGAACCAATGGTCGAAACGTATACTTTTATTAATATTTTTGTAAAGAATAAATTATTTATACACTCTAATATTTTATGCTAACTCTTGAAGACAATTTTACTGATTTATTTTGCCAAAGCCTATTGTTAATTTGTTTGTTACATTTTAATGCTTCTGGGATTCCAAAATTGGAAAAATATTGAAATCAGAATTAAAATTGATATATTGCTATAAGAATGTATATATAATTAAAGTCAAATTAACGCAATTTTTTAAACGGGGTTCCTGAATCGAATAAGATATACTTAATACGGAACTGAAATTTCATTGTAACGGGAAACTAGAGTAATCAGCATTCCAGATCTTGGTGAGAGTGCAGTAGAACTAAGATTCGCGGTTCATATATACACATATATGTATTTCAGAGTGATAAATCAGCCGTACCAGAATCCTCGAGGGAAAGAAGATTTTTATCGCATCAAGGTAAGAAGAGAGAAAACAACACAATCCTCCTCAATGTTTACGCGTAGCTTTCGCACGCCTCGCGAGAGATGGCGATTGCATGCAGTTTCGCAGTCCACGTGGTAAAAATTTCATTCATGAGTGATGTCGTAGTATCGAATTTCAATGCGGAATTGTCGGTGCTCAGCGAGGGACAATGGCACATTCGAGAGTCTCTCCTCTGTCTCTTTAATTAATCAATTCGCATAAATTATTCTCTGCATTGAAAAAACGAATGTAGAAATAAGGTGGTTACTTTATTTAATCGAATTTTATTTTACATTTAACCGAGAATGGTCACTTAGAGCAACTTTTTATAGCAACGAGAAAATGAAGTTTCGTCCGTTTTTTTTTTTTTTTTACTGATTGGGGGGAATCCAAATCTGGTTTTTTTTAATTTTTCTTTTTTAAAAGATATTCAATAAATCTGTATACATAATGATCTCAAATATCAAATAAGTTATACATCAATAACATACAATATATAGTTAATGTTTTATACAATAATGTTTAACACTAGAAATACGCCATAGAAGTAAACGAGAATGGATTGAAATTTTATCTAAATACGTATTTTTTTTTTAAATAGTGAAAAATTTTTTGAATTCAATTAGAATTCGAATTGGACTCGATCCCAATTCAATTAGATGCAAGTGGAACGAAAAACTGCATTTTATATTCAGAATTGAGTAGTATTCACGATGCACAGAAAAGGCTGATATTATTTTTAGATTAAAAGACATAGAAATATGCTTCACGCAATTTCTACAAATGAATAAAAATACATTCTGCGCGCACGCGCGTGGATGAAAAAGATTTACTTTAACGTTCGCGAATTTCTGAAAATCTGATTCATTTTCATCAATTTCAATCTATTCTCGTATAATTATAGATTTCTTACTAATAGAACCAAGCGAATAAATTATTTTGAGAATAAAGAAAGTGATAAAAGATCATATTTTATCACTATTTATCATTATTTATAAAGAACATAATTATTAGAAAGTCAAATAATTTCTTATTCTATTTTTTTAAGAAATTTAATAATAACGTTTAAAAAATAAAAACAAATCAATAATGCTTGTCTTTCGAATGTTAATTTAGAAGTGTAAAGAGAACTCTCTATATAAATTATTATTTACATAAGAAAACTAATTAACAGAAAGTTAATTAATTTTTTTATGTAAATGATGATTTATATACTGCAGAGTTCACAATTAATTAACTAATTAATAGTGAAATATTTTAATTGTCGTATCCTTCATTATTTCCATCAAGGAGAGAATTGGTTTTTAACTGTGAGAATATGAATTAAAGAGTTGAGCAAGCGCCCGCACAAAAATTCGTCGAATAATCGATGATGATTAAAAGATTCGCGCGAGTTCGATGTTACGGACGATCTATCGAGCGTCATCTCGCGCGCCGCTCTTGTATTCCAGATACCGACGCACTTTATTTACGGCCTGACAAATACCACGAAGGTCGCTGCAATTGCAGCTCGCGACCGGCATTAGCCACGCGTGGAATTTGACCTCCGTGAAAGTGTGCGCCAACTGTTCCTGCGTGGTGAGACCCCGACCGTCGCTGCTCCCCATTGTTTCCTATTCCACGCGGTTATCTTTTTCCTCGCGCAAGTACATAGATGCGATATTTACAATGTCGCGAATACACTCTCTTTATTTCATTCGGGGAAAAAGTGAGAGAAAGAGATTCTCTCTTTCTTGCTGCAACGCGATATACAAATTCCGCGTGCGAAATGCGTTGTGACAACCTTCCAAAAATCTCGTCGCAAGTTGCGTAGTCAAATTCTTTTTATTGGCTACAAGATGAAGGATTTCCAGAAATTCAAAAACTTCCTTAGCCTCTACAGTCAATTAATATTGGAAAAAATTTGTCATTACGATAAATCAAATATTGGTCTTACTTATCGAGAAAAACGTGATGTTTGCGTATCACTTGTACGTAACAAATTTTTTCAGAAGATTTTAGGATGATACTTTTGAGAAAATATTTCCAAACGGATTTTATGTAAAACCCACAATCCTAGGATAATAAAGATCAAATTCTTACTCGTTCTACTTTGCTAGAGATTTCTATCATGATTTTTAATATTTTGAAATGAAAAAAGGAAGCTAACTTAGATTCTCATGGTCAGCATGCAATACAAACTCGAAGCGCCACAGTAATACTTAGAAAATCAGAAGAATGAAAGAAGAAAAAGCAGAAAACGCAATGTTCGTGAATCATCTTTATAACATAAGACATTTTTTTCGGGACATTTTGAGATAATTCTTTCGAAGAAATTTGAAATTCGTTTAGTAAAAAAATCAAATTTTTACTCATCTGTCTTACTCCGTAAAAAAAAAACTAGAGACTTATTCTTTTGAACTGTAACTTCTTGCACGATTCAACTTTTCTCTTTAACTTGAAAAAGGAGAAAAGGTGAACCAAAAGTTTAGCTAAAAAGAATCTCAGATCTCAGATTTCTATTGTGACTTTTAATGCATTGAGAAAGAAAGCAAGTAAACGTTAGATTCTCAATGGTCAATAGCGTGCAGTTGCAAAATCTTGAGACATCGTGGCGGTATGAGGGTTCAAATTGAAAAGATCGGAAAAATGAAAGGAAAAAAAACCCGCTATTTTTATTCTTAATTGCTGTGAACTTGCCTCGTAAAGTACTGTCGCGTACGCTCTTCGATTTACACGCAAAGTAAGGCAACTTGGTTGGTATTCTAAACAAGTCAGACCCGATTCCAGATGAAAGAATCTAATCGGTGATCGAGTTCATCGCGTAGGAATAGGTATAGCCGCGTGTTCGAAAACTAGAGGGAAGTGAAGAGGAAGAGGCGAGTGCTAGACGTGAGTGATGCTCTCTCGCAACGCAGGGGAGGGAGAGGTATATATCTATTGGCCGGCGGCCAATTACACGAGGCAGCCGATAAATCACGGATCCCTGACCCAGTGGAGTTTTATATTTACCGACGACGATGCGTGGTGGAGCACGCGGTCACGCATTTCCCTTCGTCTTCCTTCCTCTAAAATCCATCCACTCGTGTCTCACTCCGTCCCTCTTCCTTCCTTCACCGGAGCCGAGGTGGCGCAAAGAGAAGCAAAGGAACCGAACGACAGAGAGCGGGATGATGCCTCCCTCAAGGGGGCGGAGAGGCGAACCGCCGCGCCGCGGTGGTCGTACGAGGCAGTGTAAGTGTGCGGGGAGGGGATAGCGATCTGTGTACGTAGTGCGGCACTTGTTGCGCGCCCGGACGTCGACCTCTTGCGCTCAACCCGAGGCTCCGCGTCGCGTCTACTATACTAAGGGACGCGCCCGCGTACTGATAATACCACTTGAGATTGCCCGAATATTGACAACTCTCTTTAATTCTTCTTTAATTCTTTCGCCCGAACTTGTTATTTTTAATTCTTTTGAAAAATAATAACTCGTGAGATCCGCAGCTTTCTCGAGAATTCGAAGATTAAGTATATAGAGAAATAGCTCTTAGATGTTGCAATATCACTCTAATCATGGAACACCTATATATCCGGTTTTACAGCGTTCTTCTACGCCCTCCAGTCCCCAAAATATATACTATGTATTAAAGTAGTGTAATAAGTTAAATGGATAATAATGCCTATTGATTTTTCAAATAGAGCAATTCGTCAAAAGATTCAAAGAATGATTATGATGTTTCTAATACTTTATACAAATCTGTTCAATATTTCAATTTGTACATTTTATTAATTCATATACATGTACAGGTCTCTCTCGCTGCAGGAAGTCTATAATTATTATTCTTAAATCCTCTTACTGATACGTAAAAGATCGATACTTGATCACACTTGAGCGTCACTACGCGCGCCACGGCGGCGCAACCTCAAAAAGGTCGTTTGGCTTCCGGCGCTCTCGTTACCGGCCGTCTCTAAATCCGTGCACAAGCGAGCGTGTGAGTGAGTGAGCGAGAGCGCCGCGACGCGACGCGAAGCGCGTGTCTCTCGAACGTATTTCGGAGGTCGACGCTTCGCGATCGGCGGCCGCACCGCGTCGCGTCGTCGAAAGTCGCGCGGCGTTATCGAAGCCGATCGCGATCGCGAACGCGTCCAGAAAGAGAAAGACAGGAGTGAGAGCGAGAGAGTCTTGAGCGCACTTGTTGCGCCCGGACAACGACCTCGCTACAGCGAACCTCTCCAAGCCGGCTTCGGCCCTCGAACACGTTCCGACGGAATCACGATTTTTCCCAATTGTGGACACGCTGGCCACGAGAACGCGACCGGCCGATGCGAGCAATGCTCGTATGTAATCAGGAATGTTTCTCGATTCATTATAAACGCTAATTTCGATACTGTGCTTGTGCGCACGCGCGTGTGGTGTGTGTATTAATTTAAGTCTTACTAATCAATTTTCTTTACAGATCTCTATTGTTTTCTATACTTTCAACATTCAAGAATCTCATTTTCTATCGTCTTAAATTTTTTCGCCAGCAATTCATTATTTAAAATTCTTTTGAAAAATAAAACTCTTGTTGTATGTTAACACTGTATCATATTAACAGAAGTATCGGTTTTTCTTGCTTAAAGAAATGTCGAAAAAAATTTTTTCTTTTTGGTTTTTTTTTTTTTCAAAATTAAACACTAATAAAAAAAAGAGGAGAAAAGAAAGAAAGAATATGAAACTTTAGAAATCATAGAATATATATAGAAACATTCTGTGAAACATCTTTAATCCGCGGAACTAAAATTCGCGGAAATCAGCATCCCAGTCCTCACACAAGCTGTGTATTCGCGTCCATCCGCGAAATTCTGAAAGAGGGTCTCAAATAGACCATTTTCTATATACAGGGTGGGATAATAATTTTGTCTACCTTGAATATTTATGCTATTTTTAGAGATATGAAAATATTGTAATTACAAAAGTTGTACGGTATTAAGAGGGCCATAATATATGCTGGTTATAATTTTTTTAGGTGGAGGTGCTCCGGAGATTTCAA